TATTAGCACACATAAACATAATACATATACCTGTATAGTTATCTTTTATGGAGGAGTTTCGGAGCGAGCTTATTTCGAGAAAGTGTGTTTATGAGTTTTCCTAGTGTCGGTGGAGGTTGTTTTTGCGTAGCGATATTACTCTACTCGCGGGCTCGAATCCGATCGTAATATATTGGTAGAGTTCACTCACACCTCATTTTTCAAAGGGGTGGGTGGCGTTGTGAATATGTAGAAAGATTTTAAATTCTCATAATGCAATTTCGGATAGACATTTGTAACATAGGTTGAGTTAAAAGGGGCCATTTTTAATAAGTTTTTCGTTTGTAAGAACTCTCGACAAGTGACGTGATATAATTATTTTACTTTAGATTACGCAATCTATTTTACCATCACTCTTAAGGGGGCGTGTACTCCAAATTGATTTGGTACAAAAAAATAATATAATTTTACAACCCCCTATGATGTAGCTACCCGTAGGTGAATGAATTTTTAAAATCGCTCTAGTAGTCTCGGAGTCTATTCGATGAAAACAAATACATAAATATTGCCTCTTTATAATGATAGTACAGATCTGCTGGAAAAAAAAAAGAATGTGTGAAACCTTTTTTTACAATCAAAAGTACCGAGCACTGCGCTTTTGACCTTCTAAATAGGTTTTCGGTTGTTCATAACACCCGATGACTCATATTACTTGTTCGATCGTATAACTTTTAATCTCACTATCATACTGTCACATATAGGTATTTATATATTTTCATTTATGAAGATGTATCAAACTCGTTGAGAATACATAACGTACCTCCCTAATTGAAGTTAGACTATGGAGCTTATATTACATTTATCTGAACGATATTCTCATATGACAAATCTTATTACTTGCCAAAAATATAGGGAAAAGGAAAATTTGCTACACTTGTTTCGCGTCACATTCTTCCTTATAACGAGAAAGATTTCGTTTTAGGTGTTAGGCGATATGATTACTAAATTAGAAATATAATATATAGGAAATAGAGAAGTCACAAGAACCGAGTAACGAACGCTCTTTCTATGAAGCTCACTTAACACATTTACTTTTATATAACTGAAAGCATAAAGTTAGGTGACACTTGTATTGCGCATTCGAAAACTTTAAGAAATCCGCGAAAAAGTTACTCAGAGAGTTCATTTTTAGATTATATCCAAAATACCTTTTGTTCAAGAGGAAGAATGACATACCGCAACTCGCCAGTCACGTTAAACGTTTTTCAAACATCCAAAAAAATACTTTTGTACGTCGGTCACAAAGATGCCGGTGTATTTCAGTCCTTATAATAAGAAAGATCATTTGTCATTTTGACGGTGTATAGTGGTAGTAACGTGAGTGTTACAAAACCCAGTTCGGTCTCGAGGGGTGACATTAGTGTATAAGGGTTCTGCCTCCGACAAATGTTTGTGAAAATGTGTCAAAAAAATTTAATTATGAAAAAAGAACTACTTTAGTAGTGCCGCAGAATTGCAATAAGGTTTTAAAGTTCTATAAGCTATTACTTATCTTTTCTAATCTATGAATCCCTAGTATATCAAGCACGATTCTAAAGGACACCTCTTAATAAAAAATCTAATTTTTTTGAAGTCTAGGCTTTTGGAGACACTTGGAGACACTTGCAAAAGCGAGTTCAAAACAATGGCTCTTATTAGATGATACTATCTTATATGCATTTCTTAGTATATATGTGTATAAAATACTGTGTATTCAAGTGTATGATATGCGTATGTGTTTATATCTTGTCCGAGCAGATCAATAAAATAGTAGAAACGACTTATTTAATTATGAGGAATATATTAATTATATCAGAGGAAGCTCCCATCAGTGTGTAATAAATGACCGAATTTACAGCGGCGCGAGTAAAATTTAAAAAGAATTGATTTCTTGGTAATATAAATTTGATAATCAAACTGGAGTGGAATTAGCTTGATACACAAAGGAAATTAATAGTCCTTGAAACATCTCACTTGAAATTGAATCGATGGCTGCCGATTTGTGATAAAATTCACGTTATTAACGGTGCTTTTTTTTTCAGAACTAGGTAATAAAAGTGCAAAAGTCGGTTTATATCACAGAAATACTTGTCAAGTGACTTCAAAAAAATTAGATTTTTTATTAAGAGGTGTCCTTTAGAATCGTGCTTGATATACTAGGGATTCATAGATTAGAAAAGATAAGTAATAGCTTATAGAACTTTAAAACCTTATTGCAATTCTGCGGCACTACTAAAGTAGTTCTTTTTTCATAATTAAATTTTTTTGACACATTTTCACAAACATTTGTCGGAGGCAGAACCCTTATACACTAATGTCACCCCTCGAGACCGAACTGGGTTTTGTAACACTCACGTTACTACCACTATACACCGTCAAAATGACAAATGATCTTTCTTATTATAAGGACTGAAATACACCGGCATCTTTGTGACCGACGTACAAAAGTATTTTTTTGGATGTTTGAAAAACGTTTAACGTGACTGGCGAGTTGCGGTATGTCATTCTTCCTCTTGAACAAAAGGTATTTTGGATATAATCTAAAAATGAACTCTCTGAGTAACTTTTTCGCGGATTTCTTAAATGAGATTAAGATGAAATAGTGTAGTGTTCTGCTCTGGCAAAGTAAATTTTGCACTCTCCACTAATTTGTACCCACAAATTAGTTGAGAGTGCAAAATTTACTGATGAATTTAAAAAGACTACGTCACTGTATACATTACAAGAAGTAGCTACTATCACCATAAACATGTCACGAAAGATTTAATTATGATAGATATTGGACAACGTAATTGTCATCTATTAAAAATCAAAGGGTCGTTATATTGATAATTCACTTTTTTTCTTTGAGATGAAAAGAAATATGGATTATATACTTTATATAAAATGGGCGTTTTCCATTTAATAACATTACACGATTATTTTCCTTGATCTGAAATCATTTTCGTTTAGCGATTTTAGTTGGTTAAGGTACTTCTAACGCAGTAAATTCACATTTTTTGAAAATAGTGACGAAATGACATTTGGACAAAATTATTAGTAGCATAGGAACGCTTGTAGAATGCAGGTTTAATTTCGCGAATCCGTGGTAAAAGGTCATCGCTCTAAAGATTTGACACACGTCCTCCCGATTGTTGCTTGACGATCGTACATTTACCGGTTTCTCCAGGTGTTCAATCAATATAAAGTTCCGATCTGACTGGAAGCAACTGGGATAACGTGAATAGCTGTAAATCACGTGGTCAGTATATGCGTTCCATTGAACCCGGTTAGTATAAGTCTTATTCCTATGAGCTTCTTGCTTTAATAAAAGGAAAGTGATTTCCTTACAGTCGGTAGTTATAGTTTGGCGAATTTTCCTATTCAACCTCATCATTTTCAGTTACTGAAATATTTATTATGAATCATTTCATTACTTTTTATTTTTTTTGTATTTATAGCAATCGTACAATTCGTTTATATATTATGCTCACTTTTGTCGTGGCAGTGATAACGCCTTCATAAATTTGAACGTAATTTAATGTGTATGAATTTAGGGGTGAAAAGTATAACATATTATACGTGTCATTATTAGATGAATCTGTTCAGTGGTTAAAATAAAAGCCAGTGTTTTTCTTGTCGCATTTTCCTTAATGACTTACTTTCACCGAGTGTATTTGGACATTGACAGAGCATGGATGTTATATATAGGATAGATCATTAAAATAATAAAATAAAGGCTCATCCAGCAATTAGAATTAATCTGAAATACTTCTTTAATTACCTTGGAAAACGCGTCTATATTATCTCTTAAGGTGCACAACATCTTGGTTCTTTCGATCTCGTGGTTGGTTCTTTGATGATATAGACATCGGTATAACATTTGTTTTTAAAATATAGTATTGATCATGGTTCAAATGTAACTATCGCCTAGGGTTGCCACCCGTACTACATTATACATTTTAGCCCTATATTTCAGTCAATTGTACTATATATCTATTGTAGTAATTGTAGTCTAGGAAAATAAGCTTCAAAATCGACAATCCTAACAAATAATACATGAATTATTTAATACATGAATATTTATTAAATAATTCATATTATGTTGTACAGATGAATATACTAAAGTCCCCGGGGTAGGAACACGAGCCAGCGGCGGAGGAGGGATGAAAAAGGCCTCATTTTTAGGCTTTTGCATTATAATTTTAAAAACTATTTATATATTTTTTTCTTTATGTTAACTTTTACATTATTTATTTTCATTAAATTTCCTATAAATTATGTTTCAACATTTTTGCTCTGCGATCAATACTTTAGGAGACAAAGGTGATAAAATTATAATCAAAACCGTTATACCCACAAATTTTAATTCTGCAAAATTATACAATATTTTTTGAACTAGTTTGTTGACTGATCGATCAAATGTTTCATCGCCGTCTCTTTATCATTAACATCGATTAAGAATCCATTAGTACAAGCTCTTAGGCAGCCGTTATAATTAAGATTACATTTAATGCCCGCTTTTCGGCAACTGCATTTTTCAAAACAACCATTTTTACATCGACAATAAATTGAATTTAACAACGCCTCAGAAGCATGTGGATCCATGGTCGTGATTGGTTCTAAGTTTCCATCGACTCCTCGCTTCCAACCCCATATTTCAGGAGGCAGTTGATTCCCAAGCCACTCCTGTATTTGATGGAATAACCTGTAAGCGTAATATTTCGCTGTACCTTTGGTAGGGGGGAAAGATAATAGACCTGGTTTAGGATTGATACAAGATTTCAGAAAAACAGTGAATGGATATCTTTTAAACTCAGACTGAGTAAAGGGAAAACTAAAACAAAACAAAACCTTAACAAAAGACAAGCCATGAAAAAGTGAAAAGTAAATAATTATAGTGTTTTTTCAATGTCATGTGCTTACTAAATAGATTATTTCTTCATGTAAAGTCGTAGGGGGACCGCCAATTTAATATAGTTTCAAAATCTAAAACAAAGTAAATGGCTTTTATGGTGGTATGTTTCAGATTTTTTAATTATTTGTTAAGAAGTGACCTGTGGTCAGAAATGACAGACCGATATGATTCTAGGTGCTATTTTCATCTCCCGAGATAGAATCTTTTGCTTTCGGACAGGATTACTTTGAATTCTTTATCTTACTGCTTTGATAGCCACTTCCGTACGAACACTACGTGGACGGCCAGATCGGTTTCGTTGTACCAACTATCAACAGCCTGGGATATAAAAATTTGATTAATAAGCGTTTGAAGGGCTTTGAAAATTGCGTTTGGCTCCATACCTAATTTATGTAATACAATCACAGCGATGCGGTTCTCTATATCACCCCACTCCATCTTAATATCACGAAATATTTTATAATGTAATAGAAAGAAAATACAATGAACAATCATATAAAAATAACAGATTCGAAATTTAAAATGCTATTTTGTTTATTGTTAATTCAAACAGTTTTTATGGCCAGATTAAGTATATTACAGAAAAATAATACATTACGCGTCAAACTATATTTTCATCAGTAAATTAGTCGATGAGGTTTTTTTAATTAACTGTGACTGGAACGAAAATTACCAGTAACAGTTAATTAAAGAGAGAATTTAAAAATCAGAATATTGTTTTTTTTTTAAATGAAGATGCTAAATTAAATATTACCGTTTACTAGAGTTCAACTCACAAAATATATTTTACCGTCCGCTTTAAATATATTGGCAAAAGCTGAGTAGAAAACATCAAGCATTAACAAAAAGAGCAATGAAAATATAATTTAATATCAGAATTTAAAATGCAATACTGTAATTTTATACATATATCTTTGTTCAAATAACACAAAAAAATAATTACACTTTTATTTGTTTGTCTAGAGTGCAGCGGAGTACAGTGGGCGATGGGCAGCGTTACAGCAGGTGGCGCTGTTGTTCTTCAACAGCAATTTCGGCATAAACTTCGCACTCTACTGTCTCAGCGGGCAAAACTTCCGCAGAGCGCTGCGCCAGACCCTGCCGTGTTTGCGCAGGCGCGCACGTCGAGGCGTGGCGGTTCGGCGGCCCACTTCCTTCAACCCAGCTCGCGCGAGCAGCGTCTCAAGTAAGGTTATACAAACGTTTCGACTATCTATATAACTACGCTTAATTTTTCTCCACAGTTTAATGCAATCTGCTAACTACTATCTGCCACATTATACGGATGGCATTTTAGATATACTGTATTGTACTAGTAAGCCCTTTCATCTGATACTTTTAAGTGGATTCTATAAATTTTTGTGAATAAACTTGACAATATTCTTTCAACAAAATATAGGCACTGACTTATATAGGAATGATTTTCTCCGTATCTTGAAAGTTTCAAATAAGTACTTGTGTTAATAAATGGGCGTTAATTTATAAGCCTCGTCGACTCCCAAAATCAGTTTTAATTAATGTCGACCCTGGGAAATCAATTTCAACTCCAAAGGGGCCGATATCGACCACTTTGGCTATCCCATGGAAGATAATACATATTTTAATATTTTTACAGTAATGGCGGTCGCAGAAATGATTGTTCCTGCAGAAAGAAATAAGTCACTTTCACTTTAGCTTAGATTCACATATAAAAATTATTTCATATCTTAGATTTACTGTCCATTATATTGTTCTAAAATTTTATAATCATCAATATTTCTTCCAAATTTACAATCTTTGTATCTAACTCAGCGAAACATTCGACTGTATGGTTTGCATTATGACATTTCCAGGGCCAGATCTGCTATATTGCCGCTCTATTGGCAAAAGTAATATTCGCAGCCCTTTACCTATACATTTACACCATCATCATAAAATTCACGATCTTGTTATTCTTAATAGGACGTCAATATGTGATATTAATTTAAATATGCATTAGTCATATATACAGATATGTATGTTTGTTACCTATTGGGCAGTCATTTTTGCTGCTATAAACATTTGCCCGGATTGGCCCCGTTAGATCGAGCCCAGGACATTCACGTATACTTTGTCACAAATAACTGCGAAGTTGAGATTTGCTTTGTTGTAATTATGAAATATGTGCAGGTTATTTTTTCATTGACTAAGATTTTCACTGTTAAGTAATGGAGACCTGTTTTGTCATGTCTAAAGACCTCTATGATAAAGAAGTTCACCTCTATATAAACAGTTACAGATAGCTATTAGCCTATTTCTTGTAAACAAAATAAAGTTCATACCCTATTATTTAAAATAAGAAAAGTGCATAATATATCTAACTGGAGTAATATTTTTAAACATTTCCCGCCAAAAAAGCAATGTTACTTCAACTATATTAAATTTCTTCTCGTAATTATATTTAGTTTATGCTGCAAATTTATAAGCGTCTAATTTTTCTACCATAACACTGCTCCTGATAAGATATCATATTTGATACTATTATAGCGCATATAGGAACGTAACAGTTTTTTAGTCTAATATTGATACAATTAAGCCATATCTAATTTATTTCATTGCATGCTTATTTTGATGATAATTAATACAAACATGAATAATTATAATAATATATATTACGCATAAGACAATTGCTTTCAATTTTAGTTTCCTTAGTTCAAATATTAAATAGAGAAAATTTTAAGTTGTTTTTTTTATAAAGAATCTCGTTATTATGCTACCCCAGTTATGTAATAGACCAAATGAATAATAAAAAGGCACTTAATTTTCAGTCACCTCGCGTAGTCACCGTTGCCCTCCGTAAGGGTCTCTTTTATACGTTGATCTGAAAGTGGATGCTACAAAGAAAAGATTTAAATACCATTTTCTGGATAATTCTATTAAGCATCATAATTGTTAGTTTGCCGGAAAAGCTGAAAAAAAACGAATTTTGGAATTTGGTACATTATTAATTCGCATATGTGGACCTTCGTAGCCGAGTGGCTCGTACGACCGCCGGTATCAGGGTAGCCGGTACATTATTTCAACAATCAGGTATCTATAACGAAATCAACTTCATAAAACCAATTCACGAAATATCTAATTTATTTGCACTTCCTCCAGTTTTAACTTCTTAGTACAAAAATTGTTAAGATGAAGATATAATAAAACATACACAAAATACAGGTTGGGTGTAATTAATGAATGATATATTAATATTTATTTATACAGTATTTTACATACTAAATATATAGAATATAAACATTTATATTTAATAATTACATAATCACCTTTAGTTTTTCTAAAATTTGAACAATATTCTACCTACTACCTCCTTTTAAGATTTTTTAAAATTTATTTTTAGCCCTTTTTTCAGTAAGCTTTCTTCTTCGGCTCATTTTAATAAAATTTTAACTAGTACTAAATTTCCATGGCCATTTTATCGTTTCATAATCAGATGCAGAATATTATCTCGGGCCAACGTTCATATCAAGACAAATCAAACGAGCCCAAACTAGATGGCGTTACTTTGTTTAAGCAAAGAGGTGCTGTGGAATAGGTACCTTCGTTAGATCGATTCCATTCCATATCATTATTGCATTGTGTAAATTATATCAAACAAAATTTCAGCTCAATCAAAAACCAGAAAGTGGCTCAAATTTAGCTTACAAGATTTGTCAATGTTATTTAGATCAACGATGTAATATTATACGAAATAAAATTTGATCTAATTTATTTTTGGTGTTTTCATTTAAAAGAAATCAGAATTCATTTTATACATTAGTCGACTAATTATTAATTTCATCCAAGTCCGGGTAATTTTTTGTCGTTATTTCGAGGAATCATTTTCTTTGTTTTAAAAGTCAATTTTATCGCATCGGTAATGTGATGTCCAATGATTGATTCGATACCAGTAGTTTCCAATTAGCTTCATTAGTATCAGATTTTCAAGTGAAAATATATGATGATTGATTGATTTATAATTAATTATGTAACGACTAACATTATCCAATCATGGTAGTGAAAACGTATCCATCGATTATGCTATACGACCATGAGTGCTCTATCAATGTTGTGAATAATGTGTAAGTTATATGACAAAATTATCGCACGACCCGATTCTGCTTATCTCAATCATATGTGGTAAGGATATCTATCGTCAGTAATACTTAAATAGAGAAATCGTTTTATTCAACCAAAATCAATATCCTGTTTCCATTTAGTCGCTTCTTGTTTGGAGAACAGCGCTTATGAAGTAAAGAAAAATAATCGAATAAAAGTTGCCAAATCTGTTGTAGTACTCTATGAACTAAAGTAAAATGTTTGGGTAGGTTTTAATATTATATTATGGACGTTGTGTACTCGCCGTTTATATATATTCACGAGGTAGTCTACTCTCTGATGTACCGGGTGTACAATACGTACAATTTCAGTGCTAAATAGAAAATAAAGACATAAAATGATTAAGTAGTTTCCACTGTAGCCTACGTACTCATTAGTTTTGAGCCAAACGACATAATTATCTCATGGGTTGAATTTACCGTTTGGGGAAAAGAGGATGCCCATATCCAATCACATTAGATTATCACGTTATTACACTCAGATTGTTACACCATTATATTGAATTAAAAACATATATCTCTGTTTGGTAAAGATTTAAATAAATTTAAAATCACCTGGATAATACTCCTGCAACTAAAAAAGAAAATAGGAGCAATATCTATAATTACTATTAAGTATTAGTTGACATTTTCATTTCTGATAATACCAATGACATATTAAACTTAAGTTGATAGCGTTAGATGAATATTAGATTGATATAACGCTATCAACTTAAATCACTGAATACAAGTTATTTGATCGTTTTTTAATGTCAGTTTAATGCATGCAATTTCTGTATTCTGTGCATGCAATGTACACAAGTTCGTAGATTGTAATTCAAGTGATAATATTAATTTGATTGTTATTGTAATACAATTATCAATTATAATCTGTGTACCATAAATAAATAAAATAAATGACAATACCACATATTAATGATAAAACATGTTAGTTTGTACTAGCAGGAATATTGGGATAAATATTGACCTTGGAGCGAATACTTCAGGGGCAATAAATAAAAAATACTAACAATTGGACTTTCATCTATGAACGGACTAGTACACAAGATCGGTACTTGGGCATTACTCATTTAAGTTAGGTTAGGCCTACTGCGTTACTACATTGAATTTGAATCATTGAAGAAATAAAAAATACTTAGCGATCAATACTATTGTTAGATATAGTATTTACGTTCAATATATCGAGATGTATCAAATGCTAGGGTTCAATCCAGTATTGAACTGTTAGTAATCAGTATCAAGGTAATCGATTTAAGTTTATTTACGAAGTAGACCCGGTGAGCGCATCACCAGGTACCGAAACACTTATATCTGTACGGTACTTTTATATAAGGGAGACATGGCCCTCTAAAATGATCGCGAGAACAATCTAAGAGATTTACAGGCGGTTTCTGAATTGGGTATTTAAAGTTAAGCACGTCTCAAACTGTACTTAAACGTCACACAAGTTACCGTTTTTGATTTTAGTTTTTAATAATAATTTGAAGCAGTTGATAAAAACTAGGACTTTTTGGCTTGTGACAAGTAAAAATCTTAAGTTATTGAGAATAATCAGTTGGGATTTTGTACTTTTCTCAATTCTAAAACCGGTCGTTAATTTAATTAGAGCATGGTCATATCAAAATCATATCTAAACAATATATTGGGTTTTAAAAATAAAACATTTTATACAACAACAATTTATTTATAACGAGCACTTTGTTAATGTACTATTTTCTTTCCAACCTGACCACTAATTAAATATCTGACAGATCTTAATTAGAGTCCCATTATCTTTTGTAGCATTCCGTTTTGTAATTTAAGTGAGGTCTGAAAACGACAATATCATACATAATTTATTCTTGCCATAAATATTTATTTTACATAAACCACTATTACGCATGATTTGACTCATGTGGAAAATAAATGAAAAAATATTATTATCAAGAAGTAGAGAAAGAATTTACAATATCGACATCGTTATCTAGAAAATGTTATTTGAGTAATATTGAATAATATTGGTATTCATTTCAATATGTTACGAGCGTTTCTAAACAGAGGAAATTTTCGACATTAGAGCATAACATTCGCCCCTTTATTGAAAAATATATAGTACATACATACAATTTAGCTATAGACAACGAATAGGTTTGCTTTGCGACACTAGTATGAATGGATCACGCTTGAATTCCCCATTGGAGGTGTTAGGGTAGAGTGGAAATGTCGAAACACACTAGGTATATGTCAAATGTTTGCGGAACTTTTTATATCGTGGACTTTTCCTCAATATTCATAATCGATAGAAAAGGGTGTGTATCATTCAATGTACGAGTATAATTTTGTAACTAAGACGTGGTGTTGCCGAAGATACCTAACGTTTTCGAAAATAATTAGGTATAATCTTTATTTACAAAAAAAAAAAAATGTATGTGTTTAATTTTCACTTGGCGTATAGACGTTTTTAGTTTTGTTGCGACTTCGCATGCTTAAATTATAGCTTATGTAAACTCCGTGTTATGTAACTATCAGTAGGTGAAAGAAGTTTTCAAATCGGTCCAGTAGTTTAGATTTAATGCAAACGATTAAATCTTTTCTCTTTATAATAATAGTATAGAAGAATAGACGTGAAGCAAACATTTTAAACCTCTTTTTATGGAAACTCCGTCCGCACAGGACGGAGGAGTGTGTAATTTAGCATAGTTAGTTTATATATAGAAGTGAACAAAAAAAGACTACTCTTTTTACTGAATGTCAACAATCATTAAGTCTTTCATAAAAAAAAAAACTTATTAATATTCGAATTTATGATCGAATTTAGATAATAGGGCGACTACTAGTAATGATTACTATGTAGCAATGTAAGACTAAAAATGATAAATATAAAATTACACCATCATAAAATAAACACACAAGCGTGGCTGGACGTGTTTAGAAAGTCGTATATTCATAATTACGAATGTTATTATTATACACATCTAGTAAGACGCGTAGTAATATTGACATACCATTTTGTTTTACGAGTACTGCCCTGCGATTCTGTAAAAATCCAAACCGGAATTCGAATTCACTCAGGTCACCCATCTCACTTCAAAAAGCAAAATCCTCTTAATGTTGAATTGGTAATAACGTTTCGTGGCATAAGTGACGTTCAAAATGTTATAGGAATAGTGAGACACGTAAATTTTGTTATATAATGAATCAATTTTGTTTTGTATTTTTATATAAAAAAGGGAATCAATAGAATTTCTTCACTGAACGACGTGAATTCAGACACATGAGTGAATTCGAATAAGACTTTGGATTTTTACAGAATCGCAGGGCAGACCGAGTAGTCTAATGAGTTTTCGAGTTTAATGTATTTAGTTGCTTAACTACGTTACGCACTTTTTTAAATTATTTATTTTATAAAATCCGTCTGAGATTAATATTTCTCGTCTACTACCTTTGTTATTTTTGGCTCACAATATGCATTTTCTATTATGAAAATGAAAATTCTATTGAAACAATGAATATTACACAGTTCATTTTTATGCAGGCAAATCCGCTTAAGCTCGGGTTCTTATTTATAAAAAAGTCCCTGGAGAATTCATATTTTCCACGTTCATTCTTGAAATCTAATATGCTGCACCGTAATAAAGGTCCTAGCCGGCTGATATACCTAATTCATATACTTTATGTATATTTTTGACAAGTCCTCCAAAGTTTATTTCATTTTATCAACAACATCCATGCATCATGTCAATAATATAGTTTATATATGAATCAATACCTAATTATAAATTATAAATCTGTTTATTTGAGTACCTATCTGGCGTTGCGTCACCCTCAAACGGCAATCAATCAAAAAGCTTTACAGCGGTTTTAATTTCCTTCAAGCGACGTCCTTCAGTATTCCATGGGCATTAGAAATGTAGGTTCATCGAATTTTGAGATAAATTAAGAAAAAAAAATCAGTTATCCTATGCAATTCTTGAAAAAATAAAGAAAAAACGCAATCAATATAATAAATAGGTAATATTTTTGTTGCATATTTGCACAGAAAACATTTCTGAAAGGAAGAAAAGGAAGTACACAAAAAAGGGGCCCTTTTCTAATTGTCTGTTACCCTTATAATAACTAATGTTAATAACATTAACATATGACTGAATTCATCTAAAGCTCTAAAGTAATGCATACCGACAAACTAACAACGATTCATTCGACATCAAAATAAAATCGATTGTACTCTAATGTATTCATCTGATTTACAATAGTTCTTCTTGCTAATATATTTCGTGACGTTTTACGCCGTGGGTTATCAAACATAAGTTGCCTTAGGGATCCCCCATTATAACAATTAAGTTGAATTATTGAGTAGTGTAGATTTAGAGATCAAATATTATATAATCAAGTTACACTGGCGTTTCTTGTGTAGCAATTCATGTTCGTGTGCTTTACTGCACGCGTAGATTGTCGAACTCGAGGAATATTTTGATTTTAACCAATTATTACTTCTCTCACACTTTGCCCAAAAATAATATTTCAGAAGTTCTCTGACTTTACAGACGCTTGTGTGAAAACAAAATAAAAATACATACGTTTAAACCAGTTTATGGTGTTTTGTTAACTGAGTAGTGTGAATGGAAATGCATATAAGAAAAAAAAAAACATTATTATATCAGCCTTGTCAGTAGTCCATCGCTGGATGTACGTAGGTTTATATAGAGTGTGATAGAAAACATGATTTCTCGCTATCTTCAGCCAGCCACGGCCACATCTTTCTGAGGTCGTAACGTAAGACCAGGGGCAACTCGCACAACGATTGTCGAAACCTTGTCTCCCATTTAAAATATGATTTTCTTCACTTTGATATTATATCAAATAACTTCATGTTAATCTACATGAAGCTGAGCAATATGAAGTCGGTGGGCAGGTTCACTGTCATATATCGCGTTTGGGCTATTGTAGGAGGCACTGGTGGAATGCTCGAGACTACAGGTGGCAGTGTGGACGAAAGATGTAATATAAGCAATAGCCCAAATATTATATATTCCGATCATGCGGTATATCACCACAGACATCGTATAACATACTAGGTTACAGACGATTGACTGGGGTGTAGACTGTATAATGTAGCTATGTTCGGATGACGCAACACTTCCTACCCGGTCTCCTCTATTAACATGTTCAAATTCCCTGATGAATACCAAGTTTGCATATTTTGTGATAACTTTATAGAAGTACCATCCATTAAAAGGTTGTATTAAAGCGAAGGCAAACAGATAGGAGCCAGACGAGCGAGAGATGGTGTCTCAGCGGATTGTTTTATGACGCGTTTCACTGTCTGCCGTTATGTAGTTTTAAGAGTTAGACCTTCGTCCACTGGCCGATAAAAGCAATTTATGCTCAACCGTTAACCGTAACTGTCGCATAAACTCGACCGCCCCGTGAAAAACGCGACAATTTCTATCATCGCCCTGGCCTTAGGAAAGTTCATTCCGGCGAGTCTCGTCAACTTGGCCGTTATTAAATTTCCAATAATTACTTCGTAACTGCCTTTGTGCGAGCGATCCGTGCAGGATGTCAAGGCGATCGCGTATCGGCTAGCGGCATAAGTTTTGGAGCGTCACGACGTGACTTTGAGTAGTACATAGTTTCATAGATGATAACGTGTCGTTTTAAAGTCGTCAGTGTTATTGATCAAATCTTTATTTGATGCATACACGTGAGATTTAGTCTTTCACTTTAAGGGTTTGTACCTCAAAAGGACAACGGAACACTTATAGAGTCACCCGTATGTCCGTCTGTTTCTTACAGTTAAATTGCTCCGATATTACTAAACCAATGGAGTTGAAATTTAATACATATGTAAAAACAGGGATTAAAACATGTAAATCACCTTTGACAAACAATTTTTACCACCATCACTTTCAAGGCTAATAAAGCTAAAAATAAAATATATAAACTTTATCAAATAAAAGGGCTTGTTGTGAAAATTTTAGAATAGATCTCCGATTAGATAGAGTGCGCGATTTTGGCCAACCGAGTAACATCTCATTTTATGTTGAACTAATTATTAGTTTGTTCGCAGCCTCGTTTGTTAGTTGCACGGAAGCAACTAGCAATTGCGCCGTAGTCAGCGTATTGCCGAGCCGTCGCGAACCTTTCATCAGCCGTTGGACATTTGACAACAGCCGTCAGTGGCAGCACCGCCGCAATCCGACGCCCGCGCCTACCTCTGAGCGGTTCGAGTTACAAATCTTCCCTTCGTCCGAGATGTAAATTGTAATATGCTTGGCGAAACTATCACGATTTACACTTCTCTAGAGTAACGCACGTAACGTACTTCTGACGTATAAATATCACTCATAATTCGAGAGGTCCAAACCTCCAACCTCATGACTGATCTTTTTTTTAAATAGACAATCGAACCGCGATGGTTCTTATTCTTTTACAAAATTTACTATTGATGTTTATCGTAATTGATGTATTTATTGATGTTTATTCGGTACTGCAAAGCAGGACACCATAAGATATTAGAGAGTAAGTTAAATATTAATTTATTATATTAACGTACGTATAAAATTGTTGTTGTAAAAAATTACCAGGTAGCAACAAGATTAAAGACAGTATTATGACACTTGATTATAATTCCGAACCAGGGCTATTGTATGTCTTCAGACACAGAAGGATTGCAATATTTATGAGTACAGTAAAAGTTATAAAAATCAAACTAGTTTATTCTGTTGACGTTAATAGATAAGTATACCTAGTCATAGTCCTAAGGGATACTTTAAAAATGTTTCGTTTAAGGATCTAATTCGCTGACGAAATAGAATGGAAGTAAAATTTTAGAAATAAATGGTAGAACCCTAAAGTGGCTTTTTATTTCAAAGACTTTCTTAATTTTAAAGTTTTTAACTAATTTAATTATTATTTGCTTATGACATAATGTGGTAGGGTTAGACTGGGGACTTTTGTTGTCCCTTCTCGCTCACGTGCGACGGTTAACGGTTCACAAGACGAGGCAGTCTGCTATTTACCTTCATTTCTTTTAACATCTAAAATAAAATAACTAATTTTTTTTTTACTTATTTTCCAAATTCATGTTTGATTGGATTATTTTGCATTGGCTTCAGGTGAACCCGTAAATATAAACCATTACACCCACAATAGGTTGGTGCAATTTATTTGCTTTGCAATGCTGCACACTCTTAAAAATAAGCCTTGTAATAAGCGGAGTTATACTATACATATACAGCTGTGTTGTATAGAACGTCTCATTTCACGTACGTGTTGTTTTTTCCCAATGAGGTTAAAACAACTAGAGAGGAGATGTGATACAAGGGCCGCACACAAAAACCGCTGTCACTTGCTAGAAACGAGAGCTTATACCCATTTGATAATAATATTTCTCATATGCTGTAATCTGTTTGTTTTCCTCATATTTTGAATGCACGTACGAGCGGATAGAGATAGTAAGTCCAGCGTACGCATGGGAAGGGATAATTTGTATGAAGGATAATTAGCGAGGTGCACGAGTAACTTATTAAAAGTTTAGAATAAACGACGGTTCGATATTAAGTTGGGATAGACGATTCATCGTAAGTAATTACTGCAACACGTACCGAGAACTGAGCAAAAGAAAGGGGTTAGTCGACGACATTGCTAAAGACACACACAGAAGACACAATACAAGGGTCCGAAATAATTTATTTATTTATTATTATGAATTACACGATGCGATGTGAGCCCTCGTTATACTGATTTGCCACAGACGTTAACGCAATAACGGCATCAAATCAAATCAAATCAAAATTATTTATTCAGTCTAGGCTGTTACAAGCACTTGTGAAAGTCGAGAGCTACGCCATCGGTTCGTAATTATACGGCGGGAGACCTTGTACCGAGAAGAACCGGCAAGAAACTCGGCAAGGGCTGCTTTTTTCTCCCTGTTTTATTTCATACAGTCAAGATTGAAAAATGACTTCATTAAAATTTGAAGTCACTTTCCATTACAATATTAGAGTAAAACAGTATTTACGTCAATCCAATCACATGTGTAGCCAAAGAAGCTCACCGATTAACAATTTAATATATATGAAAAAGGAGCCATATTTAACTCCAAGCAGTTTTGTCTTTTAAATATTCTTTAACAGTATAATATCCTTTACTAAGTAGACAATTCTTTATATGGGTTTTAAACTTAGGTAATGGTAAATTTAAAATTTCCATAGGAATTTTGTTATAGTAGTGTACACCTTGACCCATAAATGACGATAGAACCTTCTTTAGCCTGCATGACGGCAAAACAAGTTTATCTTTGTTTCTAGTATTAAAATTGTGTAAATGACTATGTTTAATATAATTGTTAATATTGTTTCTAACATAAAGTATACAATTGTATATGAATTAGGAGGCCACTGTTAATATCCCAATTCCTTTGAATTTATCTCTAAGTGATGTTCTATCCTCAAGGGTATAATTAAAATGGTGTAATGACGTCTAAATAAATTAACAGTGACAGTATTTTTTATTATTTTGTGATCTATAAATAAGAACTGTCAAATATAGAATTTTAATAAAACATCTCCAATGTTATCGATACACTATTGTTATATCATCGTCAATGTTAGCAGAATTGAAGCTCCGCTGAGTATTCAATTATTTGATTTCTAGTTCCTCACGATTTACGATTAAAGAAGTAACAAATATTTAATAAATTTTCACGTCTGTAACAATTGGATTGGTCGAGGAAGACATTAAAGAGAAAATTCGCTGTCGGTTCTCGACGTTTTCTATTACCGTAAAAAGTTTTAACTCTTTTTTGCTTTCATTCGCGCGGATTCTCTTTGAGACAAATTTGGTTAGCAATTAACTTAGACAAGCTTTTTTAAGCTAAAACAAGTTATAGTGAACGACAGTTTATAGGCAAGCGTATTTTTATAGAGGATTTATTTTTATCGTTAACTAACCATCTATTGCGGCTTTGCATTGTGCTAAACGATACCTTAACTACATATAATTGACCCACTAACGAAAACTGATGCATTGGTCGATGTCGACGATTTCATATATAAAAAAATAGGCTAATAAATTGGTAAATATTAGTTATAGTTATTAGCTTTAATAACTCTCGTCGAACACTGTCAGAGAGACTGTGTTAACTTAAAAATTTCATGACTAATACTTTTGTAAGACGTCGTACGTCAGCACGAAATCCAGAATTCAATTTAAACTTTCCTCTCGCATTCCGAAGGAATTCCTTTTGAATTTTTAAAACTTCTAATTGACACTCAACGATTTTAAGTAGCAGAGTGAATATTGATGGATCATAACTTTCACGAAGATATATAAAGAGAAGTATTTATTCTAAATTTTTTTAGAGTTCCGTATCTAGCGGTATTAATACGGTGTGCCTCAGGCCAAAAGTGATGGGCCATATTTAAAATTATAACCAAATAATATAGTATTGGTATATGAAGGTATGTGTGAAATTATACGCTGGATTATTTGTTTTGCGTAGAATCAGATAATGTCATGAAATAAAAGCAAAGGTGTTGACAACGAAAAGATAGCAATTAATATCCATCGAAACTTTTCAACGGCGGTTTTCGCTGATTCAATATTATTTAAATAATATTAGTGTAAGACTGTTATATATATATAAGGTTATAAGAATGTCAGGTTTAATTTCGCGTATTAATTTCAGACTGCAACAGAACAGCTCTACAATGGTACCAGTAAATAGATATACTTTGGCTGCCCAACAAATAGCAGAATGTTGCCAATAAAATTCTAATTATGCAGATTAATTACGTCAGTTAGGAATTTTTAATATCAATTAAGGTAAACACGTATGTGAAGAAAAGTCTTGTGATACTTAAGCTTGGTCTGCCCACTCTGAGATATAATAATTACCATCTATAATATGAATAAAATGTAATTTTTTTAATGATCATATTAGTAGTATGTCTAGTCGTGCGGAAATCATTCATTCGTTGCCTGTTAATCTTTCATCGTATCTTTCATTTTAGACTATTACTTAAGCGTATTGCGCATATTCACTCGCTTTATAAATTGCCCTTATTAGCCCTTTTATTAAGGATGCAAAAACAAAAAATAAAAGAAACTCGCATAAAACTAAGTCGACCAAGTATTATTCTGAACATTTGCCAATTTATCCTTGTGTATAGTTTTTACTGTTTTACGCTACAAAGAAGTTACAAATTAAGTTTTTACTGACATAATTATGATAAACTATTTACGTATTGTAGACCTTTAGACGAATTCTACATGTAAATAAGTCATTCAAATATTTCTAAATTTCTCTCTATTAAGAATACCCAGGACAATTGAACAATGACGCTAGGGAGCAAATTTAGTCGACTGAAATAACTTGTTATTGCTTATTGACATATGTGGCCTTATCCACAATACTAGCTTACCAACCAACATATTAATATATGGCGCTACTAAAAACTAAACTATCAATGGAATCTTTGGAAAAATACCGTTAATTGACCGCATCAAAATATTGTTTGATTCCTGAAACCACTTACAGAAAGTAGTTTTTCATTTATTGGTTTCATTCCACACTAAAGTAAACATATGTTTTTTGGCTTTGCTTTATCGGGGAGCTGAGAATGGGGCAATTGTGGCTAGTTACAATTGCCTCCTACTTTTGACATGGTTATGAAAAACACCAATAATGTTAAGTTGTCGATCAACTGAAATATTGTAGATATCGATACAATTAAATATATTTATACCTATATTCTATAAGATTTACATTCTGTCATTAAGTCTTCCGTCTTTTTGATGATATTTTTTCTTAATATCACGTAAGACATCTTTTGTTGTAATAGCACCTTATTGATCAGCTTGTCAATCCCATAAAAGCATACTTCATACTCATATTAGCAATCCAAGATTATCGACATCGATATATCGATATGCCTGTTCCAGCGTTAACATATGTGGAGAAAGGATGATATATTAAGTAAGTGAAAAGCAAATTGATACAGCGCATTTGAATAAATAATTAGATAGGGTCGGTCTGGGAGTTTCCTATTAATCTGAAAATTATAGATGTAAATTTTTAACATCGGTCTCTTGGTTTCGGAGCCTATTTAATACAAAGATACAAACAATCAAATGTATCTTATATATCTTTTATTTTATGTTGATCGAAGGAATTTACAATAATCAGATAATGTCTGTCTAAACAATAACCAATTGTAAATTGTCATAGTTCTGATTGTATAATGTCATAATCTAAG